GGGGGGGGGTCCCAGGTCATATTCTCATATTCTTAGCCAATTCCAGGTATGCCTCCTAAAGCAGTATGTATAATAATTTCTCTCAATAGACTTGACCTACTGTTCTATCACTTGTAGTGACATCAAAAGTAATAATGTAAATAAGTATGTTTTCCTTCTCAAGCAGCAGGAGTTTTACCATGTTAAGGATAGGTCTGTCTCTCCAAAGAAATGTGCATTTTCTCTAATTTTTTAGGTCATGGCAAACTTTTTCTGTAGGGGGCTAGATGGTAAAAATTTTCAGCTCTATAAGCAACTAGGATTAGTTACTTATTATCTGATCTACCTGTTTCCTTTTCTCACTTCTGTTTTCTCTTTATACAAAAAGACATTTTCCATAAGACAGATTTGATTCTGTGGCTTCTTGCTTAAAATCTTTATAGTTTCCTGTCACATACAGAATAAATATCGAACTCAGTAGCATCATATATGAGACCCATCACAGCATGGTTACTTCTTCTTCCTTTCTAATTTTATATATACATACACACACACACACACACACATCTTATTGATTTCAGAGAGAGGAAGGGAGAGGGAGAGACAGAGAAACATCAATGATGAGAAAGTCGTCATTGATCTGCCTCCTGCACGCCCCTGACTGGGGATAAAGCCCACAACCTGGGCATGTGCCCTGCCCAGGACTCAAACCGTGATCTCCTGGTCCTAGGTCGGTACTCAACCACTGAGCCACACCTGGCTGGTCAGCATGGTTACTTTTTTTTAGGTTCATGTTTCTATACCTTGTGCAGAACTATTTGTAGTTCTCTGAACTCTGAGCTCTAAGCCTTTGCACAAACTACGTGTACCTCCTGACTTACGCTTCTTCCTATTTCTTGTGGCAAACTCCTATTCATTCAAAGTTTAGTTCAAGCATTAATTTTCGGTGACCTTTGAACAGAATTTTTCACTTTCCTCTTTATGTTCCATAGCAATTCCTCACATAATATGATTTTTTTTGTTTTTGTTTTTTGGCTTACTGTCCTTTTGCCTCTACCAAGCTAAGAACACCTTACAGCCTAGAATTTAATTTTTTATTATTATTAATATACCTTGACTCTACCTAACAATGTATGTCTTACTAATCAGAATTCAAATATTAAATGAATGAATGGATTTACTAAATTTATTTTATCAAAGGGTGCCCCCACTTTTGACAGACATGAATCTGGTGAAAAGCCTTTGTTTACATTGGTGATATGCCTTGATGAATTTTATAGTCTTCAAACATTCCTTTTCTGGATTTATTATTCTGACCGAGAAGTCATAATCCTTTTAGTCTGTCTTGTTTTCATTATTGTACCTCCAGTCTCCCCAAATTCTCTTAATTATTTAAATTGCCCTTCTCTGAATGTTTTTAAGTGTTTTTAAATTGTCTTGTTGGTAGGACCCAAATGACTTATGTAATTTTGCGCTCCAGATGGTTTGTATGCAATAGTAAATTTTCCTATTTTAGAAATACTCTTTTAGGTACCCAGTAGCTTTCATTGAACACCGTTGAGAATTCAGTTCCACTGTTGTTTGTTGTTCTTCTCTTTTTATTGTTTCTGGGTATGATACGACATTTTTATTTAGAATATCTTCTGATTCAAGTATATTTACTTTTAATCAACAGGAAGACATCTAATTTTCACTCCATGTAATTTTATGTGACAGTTCACAAGTCTTAATATCTGCCATAAGCCCTTATAATCAAACTAAATCTTAAAACCAATAGAGAACACTTTAGGGCTACTTACAGTGTGATCAGAGGTGTATTATTAGATCTAACTGAGTATATTTTGTCTCTTTTTTATTTCTATTTTCACTTGTTTATGACTTTGAAAATATCATTAACTTTAACCTCAAGACATATCATTTCTATTACCCCTTTATACCCACTTTTATCTTCTTTCTTGAACAAAGAAAAGGATGGGGGTTTTTTTACAACTCCTTGTAGTTAACTCTAAAGAGTCTCTGAATTACAAGAAGAGTCCCATGACTTCCCAGGCAGCGTGACTAACAAAACTTCTTCTAGGGTTTAGCACAAATGACGTGCTGATGCTGATAAGAATCCCAAGGGAAACTCTGAAATATTTAATGTTTTCTAATTGCTTCTGTATTTTTTCATTACTTTGAAATGTTATTAACAAAACTGCCTATCTAACTGACAAATAATGGAATTGGCATAAGAACATTTTCTAGAAATTAGATTAGGAATCTCCAAACTGATATCATTGTTCTATTTTTATATAGCAGAAAGTAAACTAAAAAATAAATTACTTGAGGTCTTTTTGCATGTCCTTATAGTCTCATATAGCCTATGCTAGTGGCATGTGTATATAATAAGTATTCAAATATCTGTTAAATGATTAATTTACTGCCTGTAATATATGATTTGCTGCTATAGGGCATTTAACAGATATTCTCCTCATTCAGAATTAGGAGGCTTATGAATCTATGCTTAGCAGAGGGCAGAGAACTATGAAAATAGTCATTAGTGACTCATCTTAATATTTCTTTTAAATTTGTTGACACATGCCAGCCTGTTAAAAATCTGTTAAATGAATCAAAGTTATTAAATGTGCTAGGCTCTGTTATGGATGGATACAGCAGATATTAGAATAGTCCTTTTCCCCAGAGACGTTGTCTGTATTAAATTCTGGGTAGTATTCTGAACCTCTCTTTTTTTTTTTTTAAACTTTTTCACTGAAAGTATTAATTGTGTGATTACTTGTTTAGCATCTTCCCCTCCAGAATGTAAACTCCTTAAGACCAGAAATTATGTGTTTTATATAGCTTTATCTCTGTTGTGCAACATACGGTAGGTATTCAGTAAATATTTGTTGAATAAACTTAAAACATTACTCCATCTGTAATTTATTTAGATATAAGATATTATGTAGGCACCTCACTATTTTTCCATGTTTTTTTCCTCAAATTGTTTGGCAGTTTTCTTAGAAGTATGAATTACTAATTCACAGACACACATACCCCAGACTCACACACTGATAATCAGTGTCTCCCTCCCTCTGATTTGATAGCTTAACTGTATTGGAAAATTCCTACAGATATTTGTATCTCTCTAGATTTACCTATTCAGGTATCAGTATCATACATTAAAAAGCAATTGAACAAATTTTCCTTCCATATTTTACTTTTTCTAAATTGTGACTATCCTCACACATACTTATCTTCTAGCTGAACTTTACTATCATTTTGTCAAGGCCTCAGAATCCCATTGGAATTGGGGATTTTGATTAATTTAAAACAACACCTTAAAATATTTTGTTTTCCTATTGAAGTGTATTATGTGTCTTTCCATATGTGTATCTCTGTTTGTCTCCTTCGTTTTCCCATATGGGACCTAAAGTTTCACTTGCTGAGTTAGTTTCTGCTTTGTGTTTTGACCTTTGTAACTAACTTGGATTTGGAAATGAACGATTCAAACCTTTTTCTTTTCTTTCAAGCTTTTGTCAGAAGTGATAAACCCAAACTATTCAGAGGACTACAAATCAAGGTAAGGTGGTTATTATTTTTGTTGTTGACAGTATTGCAGATGTCCCCATTTCCCCTCTTTGTCGCCCCCCACCCAGCCCCTCAGGCCTCCCCCACACTGTTGTCTGTGGCCCTAAGCTATGCACATATGCACATAAGTTCTTTGGTTA